TAGCAGATTAGGCTTGATTCTAGGAATACTGTACATCAAAGTTACATCTAGAGATATCCTTTTTTTTTTAAATTTAAGATTAAGCTAAGATGAATCTGAAACTTCAGCTCTAACAGGAGCTCCACACCTGAAAAAAATTACCTGCTCAGTACTTCTTGCCGACTTTTAATAATGCAGGTATTTCTAAACCCTAGTTACCATTCAAAGGTATCCATCAACCCCTAAGAAATTACCTGAGCCAGAAAAAAGCTGACCCTAAGAATACGAAAGTCTGAAAGAAAATATTTTCTTTCAGAATTTGTTGGTTTGGGAAATACTTCCAAAGTATAACAAAGAGTTGGGTACATTAGATCACTACTTGTGTGGGCATGCATATTCAATAGCTACCTTCTGTTTAAAATTGTTTCAAGGAAACTTTTATTCTTTGCTGAAATGCAAGCTTTGTTTATCTGTTGATTTAGAACTTTGATTTTTTTTTCTATGACCCTTTTTCACATGAGATTGGTTCACACAAAATAAGGCATTCTTATTGTCCTATTTTAAAAGAATACATAGATTTGACCAACAATGTAAAATTTACTCTTAAAAGGCATCTTGCCCAAATTTAACTTTCAACCGAATTATATACATGGAAAAAATACTTAAAAAGAGAAATGTCATTTAACTTGGCTAAAAGGCCAAAATAAACATAACAAAAAACTAAGACAAGGTCCCCAAGATCTTGATGAGCATGCTGAAAATTAAGTCTCCTATGTTGAAAGAACTATCCTGAATTCTGAAGCCACAAGTCGCCATCTGAGCACAATTCAGTAATGGGCCAATTCATTCAACAAAAACCAATAAATAACTACCTAGTTATAAAATGAAGTAATGGTGTCTTAATACTGGATGAAATTCACTTACACAGCCCCAGGCCCCAAAACATGCAAGCATTATTAGCAATTTAAAGCCAACCTACACAATAAGCAATACAAGCGGTTTAAGAAACTTCCCTCATCACTATCATAGCAGCAGTTGGCATTTCTACCCCCATATTCTACTAAACTCAAATTAGGTATTTTAATCTAAAGTTTATTTTTTTACCTTTGCCCCACAACCCGAGAAAAAGAAAAAAAATTTTGAGAAACCAAGAAACTATGAATAAAATATGGAAATGCACGATTCCCCACCCTCCTCAACCCCCAACCTAACTCCCCTTCACGTGCTAAGACATGAATGCATACACACAACTTTTTGCTATAAATTTCAGAATGATTTACAGATTAGGAAGCATGTCACAATCACAGTTTGATTACACAGGACAGAAATACTCAAAATTTGGTGGATGGTAAATCTAAGATTGGAAATGTGATCATCTCACATCTCAAATGTTCAAAATCACCAGTGAATCTGTTCAATGTTGCCTTTCAGTGTTCTGTGGAGGTCCCGAACATACTAAAAAAACCAAAACAGAAAAAAAACAAAAAAACCTGCTGTTTGTTCTAAAAAACAATACTATATTTTTTAAATCAAAGTAGAAAATTCCGAGGTGACTCAGAATTAACTTAATTTTTAAAGTCACAAAACTGAAGTTAAATTATCATGGAAAATATTTACTAATTTATTTTCAGAGACAAACATTTGGATAGCATGGTCATAGCAAGAAAAAAACGCATCATGTTATTTAGTGAACTCTCTTTTCCTCTCAAGTGTAATTATAAAAAACCCTTTTAATTACTGATAATGGCTTATATAACCTTCCTTTGCTTGAAACATTAAAAGCCTACTGCCTCATTCTCTTAAAATAAAATGAACAAAAGAAATATTCAGCATATATTTCCTCAAATCATTCATCTTCCTTTGAAACCCCAAAAGGGAGCAGTCCTCTATTATGACTAAATTGAGTTCATTTTTGTTATGAAAACCTACAAGCAGCGACTGAAAATATCTAGCACAGTCAGCACAGGGAATTCCTGGAAGGGTGATGATGCAGCAAAAGGCTAGCAACTCTGTTCCAACAGAATAATAAAAACCATTTAAAGGACTGTAAATTCAGTATCAATGGCGTTTCCGGCAGGAAAACATTTCTAAAATTCCACCTCCAGTTTATTTCTTCATGACACAAACCAAAAGACCTCCTATCTATTGTAGATAGCTATCTATTGCCAATATTTTATACAAAATGGAAATCAGTCGGGAGGATAAAAGGCAGAAGAATTCATTTTTTCTGCTTAGAACTTAAGCAGTTTCATTTACTTTTAGAGAAAAATATCAATTAGGAAGTATAAAAGAAAAAGATGTCCCCACCATTCCAGAAATAAACTTTTCTTTTTCTTTTTTTTGGGGGGAGGAGGGTAATTCTTCTGTGAACATGTTAAGTTATAAGAGATACTAGATAACATAAATTGTAAGACAGGACACAATGCTCATTTTTACACTGAAAAATAAAGCATCCCACAACAGTCTGGTGTTTCATGTATTTTCTTTTAAGACCATCAAACTGCCAAAAGTCCCATTGTGTTTTCAATAAATAGGAAATATTTGCAAGCACTAAGTAGGATTGATGTAAAATATTAAAGCCAGCCTAGCCTATATGGATTGCTCGATAACATTCTTTTAAATGGTTCTGACCAATTGAGGAAATGAGACTATGAATGGGAAATTTGATTAAGAGTTAAAATTACCACTGAGTTCTTTAAAATGTACTAATGAATAATTAATAGCAAATGCAGTTCCTAGGTTTCCCTTACAACAATATTCTCAAGTAGAACTGAATCAGTCTGCAGCAAAAATCCATCTACATGTTATGCACAGGTGGTACAGGAAGTATACACACACAGAAAGGCACTATGAAAATACACACTACAAGATCTGGGGCTTGGGTAAAAAATCAGCATGGTAAATTTTAGATCAGGATTCACAACATTCACACATTAATACCAAACCAAACTCCACTTAAAAAGCTTAAAAAGTCAAAAGCATTCAAGAAATCCTTTGTTCCTATGATACTGTCTCCTTCTACCCTAACTGGATTCCAGCCTCCTCCTTTGTGACACCGGATTTTATTGATCTCAAACATGTTCACATTCAGAAATTAGTCTCCAAAGACATCCCATGGGACTGCCCACCACCTAGATACTACACATCACAGACATCTTTAAAAAGGACAGGAGCTTTGAAAACATATCACTATTTGGTTAGCAACATCAACTGAAGTTAACCAGGTTGTCCTCTAAACAGAATTTACCCCTTAACTAGTAAAAACAGCAGGTCTACTGAATTGGCAATAATTGTATGAAGGTGCAGGTCCACCCCAAGATTCCTCTCCTTCCGTAGCTCCTCATTCATTCAACAATTGAGCGCCTAAGTGACTTATAGTCAGGTACTTTCCTCACACCTGCCAGGTCACTGTCCTGATTGAGAAACTTCTTGCTGAAGCAATTAATTTTTAGTGCCTCCTAACTGTCCCGGGTGTTTGCATTCAATTTGAAATCTGTTACTTGTTAGACACTGTTCGGTCCTAGATCTTTCAGAGAATTGCGAGTTTATGGCACAGAGAGGGGAGGAGGCACGGATCTCCAAGAGCCTGCCCTTTATTCGGAAATGAGGAGATGTGAAAGGTAGAAGACAGGGCAAATAAATAAATAAATCGGGTTTGCCGCCGGAGCGTTTGCCTGCCCGTACGAGCACCCTTTGTAATTCAGGCCTCCCGGGGCTATCGCCTGCGCTAATTGCTCCAGGGCGCTTTCCAAGTTCAAAAGTTCACCTTTTACGACCTCACAAAAGCTCCTTACACGTTACCAATAAAAACATTCCGCGGCAAACACCGAGGGAGAAAATATCAAACAGAAACAAATAAAACACCCCGCAGGGGGAGGGAGCCAGGCGGCGGAGGGCGAATCAACCCCAGAGATAGCCCCGAGGAACCTAAGGACTTGGCCGGGACCTGGGGGCAGGGGAACAGCGGTGGGAAGGGCCAGGCCAGGTGAGGAATTCTTCGGGTCCGGGATCCGGAATCGCGAAAAGGACAAGGAAAACGGAGGTGGGGAAAGCGCGGATCGGGACCTGCCGTAGTCAGAGGGAAGGCAGGTGTCCCCAGCACCCGGTTGGGCCAGAGATCTGAGCTAACAGAAAAGGGGGCTAAGCGGGAAAGGAGCAGAGGGGAACGGAGTGCGGAGCAGGCACCGAGGAGTCCAAGAAGGAGACGCCGGACGGGTAGCTAACGATCTGAAGGTGGGCGCAGAGGTGGAGGTTCGCAGTAGTACGCGGGGCGCACGGGGAGCGCGCGGGACGGTAGAGAAGGAAAGCGGCTCCAGAAAGGTGTGGGGCAGAGTGAGCCAAGGGGACGTGGGTGTGGCGTCGGGTCGGCAGGGCGAGGAGGGAGCGTCCGCGGAGGAAGGAGGGACCCGCGTGGGGGAGCACGGAGGGGACTGGGGGAGGGGAGGGCTCCGCGCTGAAGGGACCCTTTGGGGCAGAGGCCCCCACAGAGGAGACCCCGGAATGGGGTACAAAAGGGGAGGCTGCGAGCAGAGCGGAACCGAGGGGGCGGGGAAGCCCCCACTGACGGGACCTGAGATGGGGACCGGAGAGGACCGGCCTGAAGGGACCCGGGGGAAGGGGAGAGCTCCGCGCTGAGAAGAT